GGGACCCATTCCCATTTCTTTGAAAAAAAAGGGCTAGAAAACTAAGCAATTGTTCTCTCTGAAAATGCAGAGTGGTCCCAGTTGTTCGGTCCCTTTAAGCTAAAGTTCTGGTTTATTGCCAAGAAGACAGCTGTTAGGAGGAAGCCGCCTTGCTGAAAGCTGTCAAGCCTCAGACTTGAAGGAGGCAGTGAATCTTTTGAAACAGGAGGCTGATCGTCAAGTTTATGATTATGGTCATATGGCTCCTCTCATTTACAGACAAGAAACTGTTTATTGTCACACTGGATTCTCCTTCCCACTCCTCCCCCCTTGGGATTATAAGCATTTTGTTGAATTTAAAGCCAGCATTCTACGTTTTATTCCACTAAAATCCCCCCCCCAAGCCTGCTAAAGCCTCATATAATTTACAGAGAGTGTTCTTTTCGAAGCCTTATTAAATTGTAAAATTCAAAGTTAAATGACTAGCAGAAGTAATTTTTTGCTGAAAGAAGCCTGTTTTGTCCAATACTCGAGAAAAGTTACCATTTTGGACAATAATAATAAATGCAGTTAACGGGCTGCATGTGCTCCACATCGTGCTGCTGTAGGTTTTTAAAATAAGATTTCATTCATCCATCAACAACCTTCAAATGTCTTGTAAGGGACACAAATTCTGGGAGCCCCATAAGTAAAACTTTTTTTAATCCCATACTCAGCTGGGAGAGAAAAACATACTGCCATCTACTGGCAAGGTTTTGCAACACATCTAGGAGGAACCTAATGAAAGGTACTCCTTAAAAGTCTATAGGGGCTTGTGCTGGTTTTGAACTTTAGAACTCTTTTCAAAAACACAACTGGACTATAATCTACATCACTTCCTTATCAAATCCGTGCAGTTGCATTAGGTGTTCTGCCTCTACCCAGCTCTGGAGGGCTTGCTTCATTTAATGTTGGCTCAGTTTCACCCTACCAGCATTTTAAAACCCATACAATTGCAGAAACATCTTACTCGGCTAACAGGAGTTTCCTTCCTTGCCCACATCTGTCCCATTGCTGCTTTAAATCTGCACCTAATAAAATTTGCTGTTCTGCAGTGGATAATTCCCTCTGCAAGCAGCAGCCAACTTCCTTCCCTCCGTTTAGACTCAGTTGTCAAACCCACCCCAAAGCCAATGCGCTCGCTAAAATTTATATTCTTCAGTGGATGCTGGACGATTACTTGTTTGTAGGGCAGTGAAAGCTCAGTTTAATCTGGCTACGGAAAGAAATTGCAGAATAAAAAAGCATGTTCTCCGCATATTCCTTAAGGAGGCAACATCTCTTAGGCCACCAATTCCCTGCTTGCCACCTTTGTTGGGAAAGATGTAAAGTGCCACTGAAATCCCACCTATTATACTAGATTGTATTGGTCTACATGAGTCCCCATGAAATCTCCTCCCAGCGCTCGCACAATAACAAAGGATGTGGTTATTTACCAGAATCACTGAGTGTGTCGTCTCCCGAACTGTTGTTGGCCCGGCTATCATTAGTTACACTTGGGTGGTGGCTGCTTCGGGGTGCAGGGACGGTCACCCCTTGAGCAAGGCCACTGCTGCAGTTCACGCTCACCCGGGCGCCTGCCACTCCTCCTCCTCCTCCCAAGGAGACCGGGGCTGGGAGATCTCGCTTCTTAACGGGGAAAGGGAAAACCACGGCTGGATCCACACACTCTGACACTGAATTGTTGAGCTCTGCTTGGCTGCCGCTATTGTTCCCAGGGCTGGTTTTGGAGGGGAGAGCAGCTGGGGGGATGGCAGAGCCAGCTGGGGCAGGCGCTCCAGCTGTTCCTCCTTTAGTCTGTGCTTTCTCGGGGACTGCCCTTTCCAGCTTATCACTGGTCCCGAAGCCACTCCACATACAGTCCTGAATAATAATGGCGTTGAGGTTGCTGCTTTCTCCCAAACCCATCTCGAAGGAGTCTCCTCCATCGCCACTGCCCCAAAGGTCAGCTTCGGGCGGCAGCAGCAGCAACTCGGATGCCCAGTCCAGAGGGTCGCTGGTTCGGTATCCCCCTAGTGCCGTCGCCCCCCAAGTCACGGGGGCTCCTCCCGGGGGGTTCTCCTGCAGACCCGCCGGGCTGGGAGACAGAGGGGGCGTCGGCAGCAGCTCAAACTTTTTCCAGATATCCTCCCCCGGAGGAGCAGAGTCGGGACCGCATAAATAAAAATCATCTTCGTCCGGGTAGAAGCAGGGCTGCAAAGAGTCGAATTCGAGATCGGAATTTTTGCTGACCATCCCTGGCATCTCCGAGGGTCACTGCTTGAGTCGGGATCTTGAATTCGGATATTACAACCGAAGAGAGAAATGTTTGTTTCTTCCCACCGGGTGAGGAAAGACACCCCCTTCCTAGCAGAACCTGAAATGAAGCGGGAAGGGAAAATACAAATTAGATTTAAAGGGCAGAAAGGTAAGCCCTACTCCATGTAGATCCATCATGATAAGCTTTATTTAGCTTCTTTTCATCTCCCCATCAACCTTTCAATGAAAAAGTCCGAAGCCCCCAGAAAGAAACATTACCCACATCCTACTCCTTGCTTACTTACTCGCTTCCAAGAAAGGAAAACGCAGAGAAAAATCTGAACCAGGAGCTTAGAAAGGGCAAGAGCCTCCGCACCCCTTTCTTCAAGAGGGCTTCCCAAAATATTCCTCCAGGATTTTGCCCCGCAGAGAGAGAGAAAAAAAGAGAGCTGGCTTCTTCCAAGCAAAGTAAGAGGAAGTTTCTTCCTCCTTTTGTCATCCGTCGTCTAGGGGCAGGAGAGGGAAAAAGAGGACGGCGGCGGATGTTTAAAAAAAAGAAACCAGGGAAGGGGGGGGGGAGAGAGAGAGAGACGCGCTCAGGGCTACTTTGCAAATTGCCATTCCATTCATTCGCCAGAGCGCTTCCAGAAACCCACACGCAGAGATAGAGGAGGAAAAGCGGGGATTGGGGAGGGGGGGGGAGGAAAGAGAGGGGGGAGGGGGGGGTCGGGAAGGAAAGGAAGTCACCCAGCCAAGCAGCATTATGCAACAGAAGGAAATTCACAACACGCGCACCGCAACCACTCCACATCTAACACAAACAACACAAACCCCTTTTCTAATAAAGAGAAACTGGTAAGATTATTCTTGTGTTTTGGTGGGTTTCGCGGGCACGTGCACACGAGCACGAAATTACACGCGGAAGCGGGGAGGGGGGGGGGAGAGGAAAAGACGCCCCCCGGGATGCTCTTTTGCACACACACACACACACGTTACTTTTTTTTTTCCAAAAGGAGGAGAGGAAAAAAGAAAAAGGAAGGAAGGCTGGCGATTTCCCCCCCTCCTATCCCATTGTTCCCCGTCCCGAAAGCCCCCCCCAAAGCCGTACTTAAAAAAAAAAAAGACACGCTACTAACAACCGGCCGGCCACCAGCTCGCCTCCTCGGGGTTCGCGCCTAGGTAGTAACCTCGTTCGTTACAAAGCCTCCAAGTCTGAAATAAGGCTGGGCAACTTTTGTTCCGCGCCAAAGAAGAAGACCAAACGGAGGGAATGGTGGCAACGTTAAGACAAAAACCCGGGAGGGCGATGAATGAAAGAAGCCAGCTCGGGGGGGGGGGCATTGTAGGGGGAACGGGCCCCCGCCAGGTTCCCAACCGTTGCTCAGAAATTTGCTCAAGAAACCACAACAGCAAAGCAAGCGTTTTTCTCTTCTTCTTTTTTTTTTCTTCACCCCGCGGAGAAAAACGCGCGCGCGGATCCACACAAACACACGCGCGAGCGCGCAAATAAAATCTCTCCCCCCCCGCCCCAACAGCAGCCGCAATCCCAGCTGCTCTCGGTCGCTCGCCTGCCCCGCCCCCCCCTCTCTCCCTATTGTACGGTGGTCTTCCTCCTCTCCCGTTCAAAAGCCGTAGGAATTGGCTAGCAAGACATTGGGGGCGCGGGGACTATGTGTGTGTGTGTGTGTTGGGGGTGGAAGCGGAGAGAAGGCGAGGAGAAGCCGCGCAAAACATCTGGCCAGATGCAGACCCGCAACACCGGGGGAGAAAGCGCCTCTTACTCCATTGGCTTCCGATGAATGAAAAAAACGCGGATCGCCAATGCTTCCTTCCCTATCCCGAGGGTGGCACCGATCTCCCCGGTCCTCTTTCTCTCTCTCTCTCTCTCTCACGCCCCCCTCCCCAAATTCTCTTCCTTTTCCCCCAAAGGTTACGTTGCATCCCTCCTTGTCTTACCTCCCGGCTGGCGGCGACGGTGGTGGTGGTTGCAAGGCGGAGGGGCGGCCGCGGGGAAAGAGCAGAAGGGGCTTGAATTAATGCAGGCGGTGGTCTCCGAAGCGAGGGCTTTAAAGAGCGCCAGGCAGCCCAATCGCCGCCGCCGCCTCCCCCCCTCCACCCTTTCCAGTGTTTTAAAACCTCTGCATTCCCCCTGCGCTTGCAGACAGATGACTGTCACTAAAGGGGCTTTGAACCTCTTGTATATTATTAACTAAAAAGAGAGAAAAAAAAATTCCTGACACACCCGAGGAGGGGGGGGGAGGAAAGGGGGTGGGGGCGAGCGAGCGAAAGAAACTTAACCCCACCTCCCTGATTTCCATAGAACTAGAGCCAGGGGAGGTGCCAGGCATTTGGCGCCAAAAACACACAACACACACACACACACAACAAACCCCCCCCTTTTTTTTGCTACTGCCTCTTTTTTTTTCCTTGGGAAGGAGACGGAGAGGCTTGCAAAAGGAAAAAAAAAGGAAAAGAAGAGGGAAGGAGGGAGGGGGGGAAGAAAGAGAGGAATGCAAAGCGCCGCCGTTGCACTCCGCGCTGGGTTTAACTCCCGATGCCACCGGCTGATCCGGGGCGGGTTCGCGCACTTTGCGAAGCCGCTGCCCTCCCTCCCCGCCTCCCTTTCTCCCTCCCCCTCCGTTTGCTGCAATGGCAACCGCCGAGGCGCTTGCCTTGCCCTCGATCCTGGCTCCGGAATACCCCGGGAGGGAAACACCCCCCCCTTGCAAAACAACAACAACAACAACAGTGCCCCCCCTCCTCCTGTTGCAGCCGAGGCTTTCTGCAGGGGGTGGTGGTGGGAAGCGATCCCGGGGTCACCCCCGCCTCGTTTTCATGTGCCTAAATGGTTTCCCCGTTCGGGTTTGAAATGTTTTTTAGTCGAGCCTTAAAAAAAACAACAGGAGGAGGCGGAGGGAAACGAGACCCTCGGGGCAGAAGGAGGACCCTAATTACAGAGAGTTGGGGAGTCCCGGGTGCGAGGAGTAAACGGATCTGGAATTGCGCCCCGCAAAGCGACACCTTCGTCCAACGGGCTGCCCGAAAGGCTTAGACGGGTGTTTGTGTGTTGAGGCCGATTAGATAAGCTTCCTCGGTTGTGTACATCCTTGGTTTTGCACGCACACACACACACACATACAAACGACCCCCCCCCCCCAAGCTACCGTCTGGAAAAGAACGCTTGCACGGCGCCCCGGCTTTGCTCTGCAAAAAAATTAAAAAAAATAAAGCGACACCTTGCGGATGTCCCCCTCCAACCCCCGGTGGAGGAGAGGAGCCGGGAATGGAGGTAGATTAAGTATAAGGGCGGCCGCGGGTCGGTGGGTGGGTGGGTGGCTCGCTCTATTTTCCTCTTCCCCCACCTCCTCCTCCTTGAAAATGTCCAGGGGTTCGCTTGTGCCCCGCTGTTCCAAAGAGGAGTGCGGAAAGAAAAAGAAAGAAGGAAGGAAGGAAGGAAGGAAGGAAGGAAGGAAGAAAGAAAGAAAGAAAGAAAGAAAGAAAGAAAGAAAGAAAGAAAGAAAGAAAGNATAGATAGATAGATAGATAGATAGATAGATAGATAGATAGATAGATAGATAGATAGATAGATAGATAGGATTTAGGGAAAAGGTTTGACTGTCAGTCATTCTTAATTGTTCTAAAAATATGCACACAGAATGTAGTTGGCTATATAAACCCAGATTTCTCTACTGTCTAATATTCTTCCTCCTGGCTGGTCACATAAGTTGGCATCTCAGGGCCAAGGAAACAACCCGGCTTCCGATTCGAACTGAAGGCATTCCGGCCATTCCAACCAGGAGGTGCTCCAAGAATCATTTCAGCGTGAATGCACAGCGCCAGAAGGACGCCCACAAATGTATGCCATTAGAAGTCCTTCCAACAGGCAGGTTGCCCTTCTGGCTGGCCACCTGAGATGATCCTCAAAGTGGACTTTGAAAAGAAAACCGACCAGCTGCAGGGATGGGAGATGCCAAGCCAGAAGGCTCAGCTGTTGAGTTGGGAAGAGGCAATCCACCAAATCTTATTTTATCACGATTGCTTGCATTATTCTCCGTTATCCCTATATCTGCCTCCAAGGAGGGTGGTTTGGACTGCAGAAGATCAGGGATGGGTTTTAAATTTATTTATTTTTTTGCACTACCGGTTCTGTGGACGTGGCTTGATGGGGGCGTGTGACTGAGTGCCGAACTTGACATCACTCACGCACACTCAGTCACATGACTCTCCTCCCCAAGCCACGCCCACTGAAGTGGTGGTGAGAAGTGTTTTGACAGCCTTGCAGAGTTAAGGGAGCGTCTGCAAACTACACAGTAAGGGGGGGAAAAAAAGGTATTGTCCTCCCCGGCCCCCAGGAACACTCTGCAGGTTTTGGCAGGGCTGGGGGAAGGGAAAAAACGCCCCCATTTTGCTTTCATTCATTCATTAACTCACACACTCACTCACACACTCATTCACCGCCCATCCTAAGCCACTCTGGATGGTTCACAACAAGGCACTCCAGAATAAACCACTGCTTACAAACCACAACGGATCCATCCACACCTCCATGCTAAGTCGAACTGTGTCAACCCAGAATCTTTATTTAAAAGGCTTTTTTTTTTGAGGGGAGGGGGATTTCTTCCAATTCTACCTCTGTAAAGGCCCTCTGTGCTTTCAGTTTTAGAACAGGCTTCCCAGTTTGAAGAATTGCAAAATGACAAAAAACGCGTGTCACAATCGGGAGCCCAGCGGGTTGCAATCGCCGTGCAAAAAATTGGAATGATGTTGGCCCGTGTGGTTTAGAAGAGTGTTGATCTCCATGTGTCCTAGCAAAACAACCACAACAACAACCCCAGCTGAGGCTTCCTTCCATCTCTTCTCATTTACCCACTGCCGATGGGATGACTAATCTCATCTTAATTGCCATGGAAACAGATGCAGAGGCTGGAAGTCCTTGGGCGCTCCCCACACGCAGGACAGGGGGAAAATACCCCAGCCCATCGCACATGGGGCCAGAGTCTGCTCACCGTCTGCAGCATGGATCGTGTCTTAACGCCAACTTGATTTCTCTGCTTCTCCTCCGTGCCGTGATGAACCCAAATCGGCTGAGCTTGCGCAGAGACAGGAAGCAATTTTGCCGAGGTGGCACAGTGGTTATGGTGCAGTACTGCAGGCCACTTCAGCTGACTGCTATCTGCAGTTCAGCAGTTCAAATCTCACCGGCTCAGAGTTGACTCAGCCTTCCATCCTTCCGAAGTGGGTGAAATGAGGACCCGGATTGTTGTTGGGGGCGATATGCTGACTCTGTAAACCGCTTAGAGAGGGCTGAAAGCCGATTCTAACTGGAACAGGAAACAGAGAGGTGGGACTGAACAGGGTATAAAAAGCCTAGCAAGCCCCTCCCTCAGCCCTTCTCTTCTTCTCCACCAACATTGAAGCATGTGATCACCTTTTCTGTACAGGGCTCAAGCCATGTGGCCCTGTCCAACAATAAACCATCTTTCCAAGCAGCCTCCATGTCTCCAGTGTCTTTTTCCCCACTTGGAGCCAAACATTTCTTTCAACACCACTTTGTCAGAATTGTGCTTAACTTCTCCAATCTTCCCTTAACGGATTCCTCATTCTCTTCCCTGTCTCTGGAGTCCACTTCAAAACTCTTCTTCCTGAGTTTATTTCTTTTGCCAAACGCAGACTGTACGAGTGGGTGGCATAAACATTTGGCACGCAAATAAATAAATAAAAAACCTCACGCAACAAAAAGGGAAAAGCTTTTGTCATTTCCACAATGAAAAGAAAGAAGGAAGCAAAACCTCTCTTCAAAAAGCAATCATGGCACTCGGCTTGCAGATTATTCCAGGCGCTTCTCTTTCTATTCTCTTGCCATCTTCAAGAACTTCAAACTTCGACATTCAGGTTTTTTTTGTCTGAAGTTCGGTTTCTGAAAAATCCAGGCCACGCCGAAACACTCCAGAGGCCCCACTTAACAAGAGCCCCACTTTAAAAACTTCCCTTTCGCTCGGCGTTAAGTAGCTCAACATAAAAAAAAAAAACACCCTTGGTGATGCTCTCCCATCTTTTTGAGGGCCTGCAGCCATTTCTGTACCGTCTTCAGCTGAATTTAGAAAAAAAGGAAAAGCAAAGAAAAAATGTGGAAGAATTGAGGGTAAGTCCCAGGTCTCCTGGGGGGGTCGAAGTCAAGGCCCCCTGAAGGCATTTTCTACAGAAGGCAGTTGTTAAGTGCCAGACAGTGAGGTGTGTCACTGAAGCCACAATTAGTCATCATAGCCAAATCGACTGCATCTGTGGTTCATCAGCCAAGCAATCAGACAAAATTAAGGGGTTTTGTGGGGCAATGAATGCGGGGGAGACAGCAAATTTTCTAGCCACAAACTTAGGCATCGAGAGAAATCCCAAACTGTGCTACTACGCACACAATTCTTCCTCCAAAAAAGTGGGCAGGCCTTTTTCTGCAAATTCACAGCTGCTGTTTTGATTCTTGGGACCACTCCCAACAGTGGCTCCTGTTGTGGTCCTCCAGCAGCCATTTCTGGCACCAGATGTGTTCAGAGCTGTTCTTCACTGTTACCTGATCTGCTCTTGAGGAGGAGGAGGAGGAGAAAAGAAGAAGGAGAAAGGAGGAGGAGAAGGAAGAGAAGGAAGAAAGAGAAAGGAAGGAGGAGAAGGAAAAAGAAGAAAGAGGAGGAGGAGGGAGGAAGGAAGGAGGAGAAAGGAAGGAGAAAGAAGGAGGAGGAAGAAAGAGGCGGAGGAGGAAGGAAGAAGGAAGAAAGAGGAGGAAGAAGGAAGGAGAAGGAGAAAGAAGAAAGGAGGAGGAAGAAGGAGAAAGGAAGAGGGAGAAAGAAGGAGAAGGAGAAAGGAGGAGGAGAAGTAAGAAAGAGGTGGAGGAGGAAGGAAGAAGGAGAAAGGAAGGAGGAGGAGAAGGAGAAAGAAGGAAGAAAGAGGAGGAGGAAGAAGGAAGGAGAAGGAGAAAGAAGAAAGGAGGAAGAAGGAGAAAGGAAGAAGGAGAAAGAAGGAGAAGGAGAAAGGAGGAGGAGAAGGAAGAAAGAGGAGGAGGAGGAAGGAAGAAGGAGAAAGAAGGAGGAGAAGGAAGAAAGAACAGGTAGTGGTGGTGGAGGAGGAGGAGGAGGAAATGATCAGCACCTGCCAATTGTGAAACTCAGCACTTCTCAAAATTGAAACCGAGGGTTGAGAGAAGACTTCTAACCGAGAACAGATGGTCTAGTCAGGTTGATGAGCCTCAGAACGGGGTGGACATGGATGGAGGCCCCCCAGGCCACTTTCTCTGCAACCTTGTCTTGCTCCTCCTCACAGATTGAGAGGCCAAGGTTGGGCTTCATTGAGCAGAGAGGACACTCTGTCCTTCCCGATGGAAGAAGACGACAATGACCTTCTTGAGGAGGTTGTGTAACCAGAGGACAAAAACGAACCCCAAGCCTGCTTGGAAGGGCCTGCGAAGAGGGTGGGAGGGCAGTCATGACGTACAATTGACATTTTTGGGCTGTTTTTATGTTTGTGATATGTGATTGCATTGCATCAGCTTTTGGGAGGTTGCCTGTCTGTCTGTCCCTCCCTCCNTTGGAGCTGAACCCAGAAGGACATTTCTTTCAACACTAGGAGGGTGTGTGCTGACTTTCTACAAAAATCAATAAAAATCATTATCATATTATATCAGAATCGATATAAAGCCACCTCTCAATGCATAAAAGTAAGAATTAGTTTTAACTTCAATTGAAATGCTCAGTTTTGATTGCTATAAGAGAAGGCAACAATGAGATCTGACGATAAACTATTTAAAAGGAATAGAGCACCATGTTTCTTACCTCCTTTCTGGTTTTATGCTATTGAGATAAAGAACAATAATAATTCTGCAATAATAAATACTACAGCAATAGAATGAAATCAATGAGTAATAGTATTTGTTTAAGAAAATATCTCTGAGCCAAACATTGGGTATGAAATGTATTATATTACCTTAAGTGGATGGTAAGAGATCCAGTTTGGTGTAACTAGGACACCATGCGTTCTAGCTCCATTTCAGGTAACTAGCTGGATGACTTTGGACCAGATATTTATATGTTACTTTCATAACTGTCTCTGAATGGCTCATAATATACTATTGCTTATCCTTTCCTCCCTTCCTAACTATACTCTATCTTATAAACATATATTTATAAAATAAAAAATAAATACTTATTATTTCCTGAAATTATAGCAACACCTTTGTAAAAAGTGTGTGTACATTTTAGTTTAGCAGGGCTAACTTCACTCAATTCTACTAATTGATGTTTATTTTACACACAAACATGTGTGTGTGTGTGTGTTTACATACATACATATTCGTAGGTTTTGTTTTCGTAGATTTCGTATACACACACACAGTACTGAATTTGTTAAATATGGATTTAAATTCCAGTTTAAACATTTCCAGTGCAAATTTTATTTATCAAATCAGCTTCATGGCAGAATCAGTAATCATTTCATAAACTGAGTATGTTCTTAAAGATCAACGAAGGCATCAGAAATATATTTGCCACATCTCCCTTTAAGTCTCTTATTAGAATGCAAATTATTATTTGTATTTTGGTAATATAAGTGTTCTGTGTTTGAAATAAGATTAGTTTTTTTAAAAAATCTTATAGGTTTAGGATGCCTCAAAGAACACCTTTGTATTTTTGATCATTGTTGAAAAGGTAGTTAAGTTTAACCATAAAATTTATATAGTCCTTGACTTACACAATTGAGCCCAAAATTTGTTAAGTGAGACATTTGTTAAGTGAGTTTTTCCCCATTTTATGACCTTTCTTGCCACAGTTGTTAAGTGAATCACAGCACTTGATAAGTTAGTAACTCGGTTAAGTGAATCTGGTTCCCATTGACTTTGCCAAAAGGGTGCAAAAGGTAATCACATGACCTTGGGACATACCAGTGGTCATAACTATAAACCAGTTGTCAAGCACCTCAATTTTGAACACCTGTTCACGGGGAATGCTACAAAGCTTGTATTTGTACTTTGAACCTTCACTACGCGAAGTGTTGCAAGTCAACTGTATTGAACGAGTGGTGATAATTGTACATCTAAGAATCCTTTCCGATATTTTCTGTATTTTTGCTGACTAAGAGTACTTATATAGAGGAACAACTCCGGTTTTAACTTGGCGGTGCGTAATGCGACTGTGAACAGGATGAATCGGGATTGTATTGCTGGCGCCGCAACGCTTGTGAATTCATTGAAGTCGCTGCAAGAAAGGCGCGCGAGACCCAACTCCTCGCGCCCCTGCTCCAAGACAGGAGCGGCAGCCTAGAAACGGGCGGCGCGCCCACCGTCTCGCGCCTCCCTTGTCCCCGCCCCGTTAAGCTCAGCCTGTCAGCTGGCTCTACTGCAATCATAGTGGCGGCGGCGGCGGCGGCGGCGGCTGCGGGGCCGGGAAGAGCGTGAGCGAAAGCGGCTGCGCTGCTTCTCTCGGGCATGGAGGAGTCCCGCGCGGGGGTGGGCCAAGCAATCACCTCCCTTTGCTTTCCCTGAAGAACCGGGCGACGAGCTGAGAACCATGGCGGGCATTATCAAAAAGCAGATCCTCAAGCACCTTTCCAGGTCGGTACCCTCTGGCGCTTTTCCTCAGAAGGGGCGGATTTCGGTATTCCCCCCTCCCCCTCTCAGTGCTTGGCAGGACGACTCGGCAACGGAACAAGCGGAAGGGGAGCATCCATTTTCTTCAGTCGCGAGGTTCAAAGTCCTGGGAAACGTCTGAAGGGGCCCTGCGAGGGTCACTCTTCACTCGTTTCTCGGTGGCTTTGGGAATGCTAGAAAATACAACGCTGGTTTTGAATTCGCGGGGGCGAGAGCAATGGCGCTTGGTACCAGAGAGCTGGGGGGAGAAATAATCCCGAGGGCGGGGAAGATGCCTTTCCATAAAAGTACCCACCCGTGGCTTTTCTTGCCGCAAGTCTAGAAGGCCTTCGCGGCTATTTCTACCGGCGCAGAGAGGAGGTTGAGATAAAGCTTTAGTTGCCCGAGTTATGTATCCGTAACCTCCCATTGCGACGGGGCGCCGCAATTGGAACAGCTTGTCTCTAGGACACTGTGGGTCCAGGGAAGTGCACGGGGGAGAGTGGGTGGATCGTAAATTATACTTGACACGTTGTCTGTAGGAGGAGCGAGGGCGACTTAGCTGATGTCACCATGAATATTGTCTCTTTAAGGAGAGCCTGGAGATGCCAGGATTAATGTTGAGATGACCGCTAGCTAGCCTGCTGGAAAACGCGATGCGTTTGGGTTATGATTCAGCACTGCGCTCCCTCCCTGCTCCCTTAGTTGTAGCTGAAAGGAGGAGAATTGCTGAGCAGTTTTTATAAACCTTTAATGCTGGCTAGGCGTTTGAAGCGATCATGTTTGTTTATTAGATTTATGTGCCGTCCATCTCAGTGTAGGGGTTAGCTGAGCAATGTCTCTTTACAGCAGTATAACAGTAGTGTAAGGTTCAGAGGTAGGCATAGTAGTGAGTGAGGTAATTTGAAGGTGCTTTTCGAAATACTAGGAACAGTGAGATGTACAATTATATAGCTATTTCTGCAAANAAGTCTAACTGCTATTGCTATTACCTTCATTGAACAAAACCCTAACATGCTTTAAAACCAGAACCAGACATGCAACCACCCTTCACAAGTGGCAAATAGGAATAACAGTAACTATAGTTTATTTGTTACAGGCTTCACAGCTCCTTAAAATTATCCCAATTCAAAGAGTGAGTAACTGCTCACTCTTTGGTATAGTGTAAGACTTGAGCAAGGGGGTTGACTAGAAGACCTCCAAGTTCCCTTCCAGTCTTATCATTCTATGTAAGGACGGGATTTATAAGAATGAGGCATGGTTTCAGACATTGGAATGGGGACAAATTTCTAATATCCACAATCTGAGATACCAAAAAATAAGAGAGCGAGAGTAAATTTTATAAAAAGATTAGCAGCTTTCAGATAATGAGCCATGGAAAGCTTTTTGAAGGCTTGTAGAACTGCCAATAGAATAGTGCTCGATACCTTTTTGTTCAGTTGATGTTGGAAGAAGAGCACTGTCCTTTCAGCCATAGGTATACTGTAGTTTCACAGTACAGCTACTGAAACTGTATAGGACCAGTAGATGGCAGTAAAGAGCCTCCAAATTCATAACTCTTTGTTGCCACCTAGTGGTGAGACTTTTCAGCTCAGATCTTGTAATCAGCTGTGTTGTGGTGGTTATTCTTATATCGGCGCTATGACCGTGATAGTGGGGGGGGGGACGGACGGTAAAGGTGTATGCTGAACAAGTGCAAAAGCTTGCTCCTGATGCTTGAAAGCGCTGTTTCAGATGACAGGTTCGTGCATTCTGCCAGAGGATCTGTTGGGAAACAGAACTCCCAAGGAATGAACCTTGCCTGGAAACATAGTGACTTATCACACTGGCTGATGTGTCATAGGGCAATGTCCCCAACTTCTTTTTTGGTTCTGTATGCAGAGAAACTACTTTAGCAAGACTAACATTTATAAACTTGAGGTGCAAGAGCACCTGGCCATCTCTAGGTCAACTTGGGATTCATTTGAGCATAATAAATTCTGGGGCACAACATCTTAAAAAAAATCCATTGCTGGATCTTTACTTGATTGGGACCAATCAAATAATACCCTCCCCCCATCTTTGTAATATTAAGCCAAAGCCAATTTCTTATATTGGGACCTAATCCAAAATCAGATAGATGATAGATCGATGACAGATAGGTAAGATGATGGGTGGGTAGGTAGATAGGTAGGTAGATAGATACATAGACAGACAGACAGAAATTGAATATAGGGCAATGTCCTTAAGGAACATCTTTTGCATTCATATAGGTATTATTTTCCATAAATAAAGCAATAAAAATAATATAGGAAACCTTCCGTCATAAAGATTTTCAGAAATAAGTAGCATATCATTTAATTGCTATTTATTTTCATAAACATGAGGTATTTCAAAGTGCTATAAAGATGCAGCACTAAATGTACATCGTTGGAAGAAATTAAACACAGAACTTTGCAATTACCCAGTTCTATGCAACAAACATTAACAAATACATTAACTGGAAGAAACAGGCTAGGAAAAAAAAGGCATATATAGTAAATTTCTTTACAAAAGTTTTCTTAGTCCAAAAAAGTGATAAAGTAATATCTACTCAAAACTTTCCACAACCATTTTCATACGAAAATATAAGTATCAAATTTAGTTATGTATCAGGATCATACTAAAGTATACAGGCAGTGTAAGAATTAGTACAGTACATAACAGAGATTAACAATATATTTGTATACAAAAAACATGCTCCTCAAACATTGAGGTATTACAGTACTTAGGTATGAACTTCCAGTCTAATATTGGTAGCAAAAGTCACCTCTCATAACCCAAGACGTGTACAAAAGGCAAACGTGTATATGGTATTTACACAGGCGGTTTCCCTTCCCCCTGGGTATAACATGGTTTTGCCCCCATAACACCTGTAAAACATAAAGCACCATTAAAATGGAATGAATGTTTCCAACTCAACTGGATGTCATAAGCAAGTCTCAACGCTCACAACATTGCAAGGACAACAGTTCCAAGATGAAACATGTGAAAGCCATTCCACCATGGTTTTTGGCAGTCTCTCCAATTCCAGAGGAGGAGGACCCCCCATTTGATCTCCTCTTCAGGTATAACAACAAGGTGGTGTCAATTACGCAAGAGACGGGATTGAAAATAAAACCAACATTCTTAACGTCAAAAAAAACAAAACAAAACATAGCTCTCTTTAAGGAATCAAAAATGTGCAAAGTGGCAATAGCTGTCCAGGTCAGACAAATATATAAAAGGTCAGGTGTTTGTTTTATTTGCTTTCCAACCCCCCTGCCCCCCCACATTAGCAAGTCTGCATGTGTTCCAATTTTTTTATCAACTGCTGTTGCCTGATTTGGAGTTTTTCCTTTTCCAACAACAAGTTGTGCTCCTCAGCCTGCAGGGAATGGACATACTCGGTGGCCTTTTTCAAGATGACCACTTTGGCGGCCTTCTCGTTTTTCACCAGTTCGGGCACGTGGTCCCTTAACGTCAGAAAGCTCGACCGCAGATCGTTACGCCGCTGCCGTTCCAAAATGTTGTGGTTGCGTCGGCGCTCGCTGTCTTCCGAATCCGAATTGCGAGGGCTGGAGCTCTTGGGCTTTGGTTGGGTCGCTGGCTTGGCTGGACGAGGCGCCGCTTCGTTTCTCAGCTTTTTGGGCAGGGGCACATCTTCCCTCTCGATATACGGGGAAGGCGCCGCGTAGTTGTGCTGCTGGTGGATGGGGGCGCAGCGCTTTAAGATGACTTCGCTGGGCTGAGTTCTCACCGAGGCAAAGGCGGTGCCGTTCTTGGGGCGCATTGCAATGGTCAGGGTGGTGATAGCCTTGTAGGAAGAGGAAGAGCGCCTCTTTTCCACGGTGACCACGTCGATTTCCTCCTCCTCCTCCTCCTCCTCCTCTTCTTCCTCGTCTTCATCTTTTATTGGAAAGACAAAAGGTCAGGACATTAGAACTCCAGGAAAGCATAATTAGGACATTCTGCATTAATTAACAAAGGCCAATGGATAAGGAATCTTAAAGCAGGAAGGATAGGCAGGAAAAGAGCATACAGAATAGAATTTGCATGCCCAAGACACAGACCCCATGTATATATGCCATCAAGCTGTCAGTAAAGGCGACATGTTTGGAGATAGGGAAGATATTCAGGCCAATAAGTAAACAAAATTACAATCCAACTGGTTGTAGGATAAAAAGAACATAAAGTAAACCCTCAATCCGATTTTTATGGAATTGTTCTATTGAATTGAACTGCATGGACAAAATTGATTCACAAGGCAGATATAATACATTCATTATATTATATGAGAAGGTTAACAAACCTTCTCATTCACACATACTCATTCCCTCTCCCTCCCTCCCTCTCTCCCTCTCTCTCTCACACACACAGAGGAGTGGGGGAGAGACATGAAACCTCTCCTGGGACCCATTCCCATTTCTTTGAAAAAAAGGGCTAGAAAACTAAGCAATTGTTCTCTCTGAAAATGCAGAGTGGTCCCAGTTGTT